GTCCTCACTGGTCTGGGGGCCCTGAAAAGGGGCATTACTGGGAGACTTCCTGGAGAAGGTGACTTCTCACCTGGACTCTCGCGACGCAGAGGTGTTTCCCAGTTAGAGAAGCAGGGAGGAGAAATAGTAGCCAGTGGGAAGGGGACAAGGCAGGACCCCCTTGCCTCTGCAGGCCAGTACCTCTGCTTGGTGACGATGCACAGGCTGACGGATAAACAGCGGAAGCAGCTGAGCCTGAAGAAGACTGTTCTGGTGGTCACCGCCTCCATCCCCAGTGGCCACTTCTCCATACAGCAGGCCGGGGCGGAGGTGCCCTTCAGCCCCGGGCTCTACACTGACCAGGCCGAAATCCTGTTGAGCAACCACTACACCAGTTCTGACGTCAAGGTCTTTGGTGCCATGGACATTCTGGAGAACCTGGAGGTGAGTGTGACCCACGTGCCCCGGGCCAGGCAGGAGCCAGGGGTGTCAGGAAAGGCTGGGAAGAAAGGGCACGTGGGGGTCCTGGGCTACTCTCTTTAAAATTAAAATCCGGGGGCCAGCACATGGCGTAGCAGTTACATCACTGGACTCCCACACGGCCAACTGTAGTTCGAGTCCCAGTCCCGGTAGCTTAAAAATCACACTGGGCACGTGTGCGTGTGTGCCCAAGATTCTGGGAGGAGAGTGCAGAAGGGATTGCGGCGTGGCCACCTCCTCCTTGGGGGAGATTTCTCACTTTCTCTCTCACTGTCTCTGTCTCTCTCCCTAGTGAGCACATGCACCCTAAGGCAAAAACCTCTACCCACGAAAAAAAAGAAGTTAAATTAAAATCAGGAATTAAAAATTTAAAACTCCTATAACCATCGTCCTTTTCCCCCAGAGCACTGTTGTCATCTGCCAACCTGTGTGACTTTTATGCCTTACTGTGGTTTCTGCCCGTGCCCAGCTGGGAGTAGGTGAGGGCAGTGCCGAGCGCATGGCTGTACTCAGTGACTGTGCAGTGTGTTGAATGACGGAGTTCATCCACTTTTTTCTTTTTCTTTTTTTTTTTGGTGAGATTTTTGCTATCGGGCATATGTGCTCACCAGAGAAACAGAGAGAAAGTGAGAAATCCCTGGTGGGAGATTTCTTACTTGCAATCCCTTCTCACTCTCCTCTCGGGATTTTGGGCACGCATGTACCCAGCATAAGATTCAAGCCACCAGGTCCAGGACTTGAACCGTGATCAGCCATGTGGGAGTCCAGCGCCTTAACCACTGTACCACCTGCTGGCCCCTGCTTATTTATTTTTTACAATTAATGTTTTTTTAGGGATTCAAGAAGGCAATGACTCTGCCATTTTCTTTTTTTTTTTTTTTCCCTCCCAAAACAACTCGATTCATTTCATTTGGAAAACATTGGCAAAGTAAATTTCATTTGCAATTTCACCTGTACTAAAAATACGGGCGATATTTAGAACGATAATTTGTAACAATACAGATGAATGATTTAGCATCTTTTAATACAACTCTTGATTAGAATTCAGTGGTACTGACTTACATGTTCCTTGGAAAGCACCGAGTGTAGACAGTTTCCTGGCTGCAGAATTGCTGTTGTCCGTGACAGGGCCCAGGGGTCATCACCTCCCCAGGAAGTGTCCCACCCAGGTGCCATGGCCCCACGCGGTGGCCTGCCCACTGTCTGTGAAATGCACTCCCTGAATCCACGATGTCTCTCTCAGGTGAAGTCCGGGTCCCCGGCTGTGCTGGCCTTCGTGAAGGAGAAGTCGTCCGGGCTGCCCAGCTTCGTCACTTACACGGTCGGCGTCTCGGACCCCACCGCCGGCAGCCAGGGGCCTCTGTCCACCACCCTCACCTTCTCCAGCCCCATGACTAGCCAAGCTGTCACCATTCCAGTCACTGTGGCCTTTGTGATGGATCGCCGTGGGCCCGGTCCCTGTGAGTCACGGAAGGCCAGCGATGGGACAGATCTGGGCAAGGGAGGACAGCCAGTGTGGCCCTGGGTGTCGGTAGTAACCTGGTATGTGAGTACCGGAGGGACGAGAAATGCAGAGTGTCCCTCAAAGTGACCGCCGCTGCCTGGTCCTTCATGCATGCCGCGCTTCCCCTGCTGCCCCCGTCTGTTCTCAGCACAGCAGCCGGAGGGATCCGCCCTCTGCTCAGTGTCCCTCCCTCTGGGGGACAGCTTACCATGGTGCTCCAGTGACTGCCAAGACCTGCCTGGCGAGGTCTGCCTCGCTGTCCGTTTTGACTCACCTCCCTGCTCCGGCCACAATGGCCTCTTGTTTCTGGAATACGTGTCCCCGTCCCCAGCTGCAGCCTCAGTACCTGGAATGCCGTTGCCCCCAGATAGCCCTTGGCCAACACCCTCCCTTCCTGCAAGCCTTCCCTCAAACAGCAGCTTCTCAGGCCAGGAGTGGCATGGCAGGGACGCAGCTAGACCCGCATGGGGAACCCCAGGTCTGCACACCAAGAGCTCCCTGTGCACCCGGAGCACGCTCACGCCCACGATTTAGGTTGGCAGAGGCTGGGGGTAGATCGCAGCAAAGACCCCGAGGCGCGTGCGCTCGCTTTCTCCATCTATCTGTCTCAGAAGAAATAAATCAGGGGACCAGCAGTTAGCGTAATGGCTATGTCGCTGGACTCCCATGTAGTCGACTGCAGTTCGCATCCCGGACCCGGTGGCTTAAACTCACACCGGGCACGTGTGCATGCGTGCCCAAGATCCCGAGAGGAGAATGGAGGAGAAGGGATTGCGGCGTGGCCATTCCCCCTGGGGGATGATTTCTTGCTTTTTATCTCTGTCTGGCTCTGTCTTTGTGGCGAGCACACGTGCCCTATAGCAAAAACCTCTCAAAAAAAAGAAGAAGAAATAAATCAGGAAACTAAAAAAGAAAAACTTAGGTGATCATGAAAAGTAACAAGAACGTCAGCCGTAAAGTTTTCCTTCTTATGGTAGAACTGCTGCTAACCGTGAATCCATACCATCCTCCCATTTCCGCTCCCCTTCCACAACTCGGAGTTACTCTCACGAGGACGGCGCCCAGAACAAATGGTTCCGTGCATTAGGTAGTCACGTACTGGCACCGGCGTGGGCCAGACCCTGGGCTAGGCCGACGATCGAGATGCCCCGTCACACGGAGAGGGCGCAGAGTTAGGGGTGCAGAGGAAAGGGATGATGCCGGCGATGCGGCTGAGGGACTGGGCCGTCCTCACCTCCACTAGGAGGAACAGCCCGCTGCGTGCAGGTGCAGGGAGGTGGTGTTTCGGTGAGAGGGACTGCAGCGTAACGCGGGCCGCTGGACTGGGAGGGGTGCTGGGCCGGGGAGGGCTTTCCAGGATGGAGCCGGGAAGTGGCGTGCTCAGGCCCGACTGCCTGTCTGGGAGCAGGTAGCAGGGGACGGAGACTGGGAGGGCACTTGAGGGGGTGCTGCCTTCTTCCCACATGGCGTGTGTCCTGACTGGGCACCCGTGGCTGGAGGAGCAGGAACAGTAGCCCTAGGGCCCTGGTGAGGCGTGCAGTGCATAGGTGGGGAGCCCAGGGAGGAGGAGGAGTGGCAGATGCTGGGCTCCCCTTGGTCTGTAAGGCTCAGACTCGGAAAGTAATGGCTCCCAGAACCTTGGTCTTCACGGCTCTCGTCACAGCTTGGCCAGCTCCGGGGCAGGACAGGTGCAGAGACATAACGTCAGGCCACGCTCCCCTCTGAAGGAAGGAGCTGAACGTTGAGCCCTTCCAGGAGAAGGGTCTGGTCCCGATGGCCCAAAGTGGGAGGAGACGAAGTGCCAGGGTGACAGGACCTTGAGCAGGCCACCTCGCCCTCTGCAGTTCCTGTCCTATCTGAGAAGGACCCGGGGCCGCCACACCACACCCACCCTGGTGCCCGTGAGGTCTCGGGGCAGAGCCCCTCCCTATCCTTTCAGCCCTTTGTATACTTTTAGTTCGTGTTTAGGTCTGTGGTTTATTTCGAATTAGTCTGTATGTATGGTGTGAGGTCAGGCTCATTTGTCCCTGGGGCAGTAGGGGTTTTGGGGCCTGCAGAGGCACGTAACACACAAGCTGCACAGACTCGGAGCGCCATCGCTGGGACCCTGGAGGCCTGGGTGTAACTCTTCTTTCCCTGCTGACAGATGGGGCCAGCCTCTTCCAGCACTTCCTGGACTCCTACCAAGTCATGTTCTTCACACTCTTCGCCCTGCTGGCCGGGACGGCTGTCATGATCATAGGTGAGGTGGGCTGGTGTGGCCCTGGGGTGCCCCCTGCCCCAGCCAACTCTAACCAGCCATGCACTCTTGCAGCCTACCACACGGTCTGCACGCCCCGGGAGTTTGCTACACCGCCAGCTCTGGTGCCCCGAGCCAGCCCTCGGCACAGCCCCCACTGTGAGTATCTGCTCCCGGACCCCAGACTATAGGGGGGCCCTGGACTCCGAGTCTCAGCAGACCTGTCCCTGGGAGCTGGTAAGGGGAGCAGCTGGGCCCAGGTGCTGGTCCTGGGTCCCTCCAGCTTTCCCCCAGCAGAGCCACACAGTAAGGGGCTGGCAGTGGGAGCACCATCTGCAAACGTGCAACCAGGCATCAGGCGCCCCCTGCTGGCACTGCTGCAGAGCTCAGACCAGAGCTGGGCGGGCTGGCTTAGAGGTGGGGGTTCTGGGCAGTCCTGAAGAGGGATTCCCGGATGGAGGGCAATGGTAAAACCCTTCTTTCCAGTCCCTGTCTGGTGGCTCAAAGGCTCTGTGCCTTTGCACACTCCAGGGGGCCCTCCCGCTGTGAGTGTGGCCCTGATACAGGAGTGCCCACCCTGTGCAGCTGCACGTGGCAGCCCTGGCTCCTGGCCAGGGCTCCTCCCCCCTCCAAGGAATCTCTGGGCTGGGCTGTGGGTGCTGTGGACAGGCTTCCAAGGGGCCAGGTGGCCCATGAATATGAATTTCCTGGGAGAGGTCACATGTTTGGACAGCAGGGTTTTCTGGGCGACAAGATCCCATTCACATCTTGGACCTACCATCACAGCCGTCTCCCTGGCTGCTCGGGACCCGGGGGTTCCACGGGCTGCTCGGGCGCTCGCTCGCTTCCTGGCGATGCTGACGTGTCTGCAGCTGCGTCCTCTCTGATCCTCCCTCCCTGGTCATTGGAGCCACACCGGAGCCTGCCCTCTCCCTGCAGAGCCTCCCCACAGGGTCATTTATGCAGCGTCCTCTGCCCAAGATCCTGCCCGCCCAGATGGATGCGTGCCCCTCACCGCCCCACATGGCCCTTGGACGGATGCTGCCAAGGCATCCTGAACCCCAAGGCTGGTTCTCCCCAGCGAGGCTCTGCCCTGGGAGGTTGGGGTCCCTGCTCCAGGCCACCCTGCATGTCCAGCCGTTGCCCCTTCCATGTCAGAGGCAGCTCCAGCACCCCGTGCATCCCCCTCTGCTGGCACGGGGAGGCCTCGGGGCATCCTCAGGAAAGTGTCCTTGGCACACAGCGGGCGCTTCGTAAGTGCTGTTCTGTGCGGGCCTTGGTGAGTGCTGGAGGGACGTCCAGTTCTCCCGGCTCCGTGGCTCACTTCCTCGTCTGCCCACTCTAGATCTGGCTGCCTCGTCGCCGACGTCTTTCAACGCACTGCCTCCTGTTCGCAAAGCCAGTCCTCCTTCGGGGCTGTGGAGCCCAGCCTATGCCTCCCACTAGCCGCTGTGAAGAGCCGGGGTCAAGGCAGCTCCGCATAGACGGCCCTGAGACTTGCCTCACACACCTGGGTGACAGGGACAGCTCTGCCGCGTTGACACTGGAACAAGCTCCTCCAGGCCTGCGCCCTGCCCCCGACCAACTCCGCTGCCTTCTCTGTTTGATGCAGCTGCAGCTCAGGCTGCGCCCTTAGCTTAGTCTTCCGTGTAGGAGTCTTACGATTTGGGTTATTTTTTTCCTTCTAAGTCTTGCAAAGCTAAGGCTTGTTAGCGCGTTTTTTTATGCATGGCTACTCGGCTTTCTGGACAAGGTGCGCGTGTGTTTTCATTTCTCTAGCATCACCAAATCCCTCCCTCTCAAACTTGAGCTATAGGCAGTGTAGAATTGTCTGTAGGCGATGTCCCGTAGTGGTCTCAGGGAAAGCATTTTCTAGTTACTTGGGCGCCTTTCTTCTTCTTCTTCTTTTTTTTTTCTTTTGTGCAAAGTGACTTTTCACTGTCTGGCCGCCACTATGAAATCTGGGGGACAGACACGAGTGTCCTGAGCCTGTCCTGCCACTGCACAGAAACCTCAAGAGCCTGGCGCAGAGCCCCGTGGGAACTGAGCCCTGTTGGGAGCGAGGTGCCGGGACAGCCCTTGCGCGAAAGCACAGCTTCTCCTGTCTCGGGCTGCTGAGAACAGGCTTCCGTCCTTCTGCCTCGTGAGTGGGGAGACATCCGGTGGTCCCCGTGGGATGTCGCAGCTCGGGGTCCGACTCTCCCCTGTCCAGCTTCCTTATCAACGTGAGGACATCCAGAACCGTCTGTGGGGAAAGGGCTTTGAGCAAGGACTTTCTTTTCTGACTTGTTCTTTCGTTTGTAAGAGCGTGCACACACACGACGGGGAGTGGGGAAGAGAGGAACACCTCCCCCGGCCAGGTCACGCCACGATTGCCCTTCGCAGTCCTCCAGCGCACGGGCTCTGGGACACTGGCCCACATACCTAACGTCCAGGCCCGGTGTTTCCGCTCATGAAATCTCAGACACAGGCACGCACGCCTGGAGTGCTTAGGCTGACCGGGCCGGGATTCGAACTGCAGCCGCCATGTACGGCCGCTTCTCGCGCTGCGTTTCGGCCTCTGCTATGTGATTCAGAAGCCGTCGTGTTCTGCCTCAGCACAAAGCCAGTGTTATTTTCCCTCCCTCTGCCGCGTCAGTGAGTACCTCAGCAGATCTGAGCCGCTGCCCTGCCCGGCAGGAGACGCCGTCTCTCCAGCAGCGAGCAGCCGGGCCCAGGGCCCCCCCAGGCAGCTTCCCAGCAGGCCCCGTAGCCCAGGCCAGGGCCAGCGGTGGGTGACCTGGCTGTCCAGTGCCTGCCTCCAGGAAGGGACTTGTCGAGGGGCTGGGAGAGAAGACCTTGCAGAGAATGCTCCTCTTCCCTAACTCCACGTTCAGGATCTGAGCCCTTCGGAACGTGGCCACTGCAGTCCCAGGACTGGGTCTCGTGCCACCCTCAGGGAGATCTGGAGGCCCAGGCCCCAGAGCGGGCCACGCACAGGCCTGCAGGTGGAGAGTCCAGCCCGACTCTGAGGCTGAGTGTGAATCCACTGCAGTCCTTTGGGGCGGGCCCTGTGGTGACTTCTTGAAAGCTGGAGAAAAAGAATCGTGCCTTGTGAATTACTTGAGCTTACACTGACATCAGATGTAAATAGCCTTTTTACTTGTTTATTTAATAAAGCGCTGTGTAATTTCTTAAGGGGGTGTGGTCACTGCCGGGGGTCGCGTCCTAGCTGAGAGTGCCCTGAGCCCTGGGAGCAGGCTGCCGTGCCGAAGTGGGGAGCCTTAGTGACACCCCTCCTCTCCGTTCCCAGGCCTCCCGCTCCGAGAAGCTAGCCTGGCAGAGGCCGCCTCTGTGTCTTCACATCCTCCTGTCCCTCTCGGGCAGCCGGCCCTCCTGCCAGCCCACTCCTTTAGCATCGTCTGAATATGTCTGATCCGCCTTACTCCACAAAAGGAAAATCGGCCCTCCTCCGCCATGCCTCTCACAGCCAATGCCGTCCCTGCCCCTGGCCACACTGGCTCCCAGCCCTGCCCTCCTGTGGCTGCTCCCCCAGGGCTGCTGGCCTCCACGGCCACCACGCCCCCTGAGCTCTCCCACCTTGCTGGCAGCTCCCTGTCCACTCGCCCCTGCCAGCCCCTCATCGCTGGCCTCTGCCTTCTCACCCACCCTCAGCCCCCAGGGAGCCTGTGGTGACCTTCACCCAGGCTCACCGGCCTGGTCCCAAACACGGCATCTGCATCACAGGTATGGGGGTAGGTGCTCCGGGCAGTCGGGTAACGTGCCTAAGGTCAGCTGGAAGGAGCCTCTGCTTCCAGCTGCCCAGCATCCACGCCTATGCAGCCTCCCTCCGGGATGAGATCCCAGCCTCCCTGGCCCAGCCTCTCCTGTCTGGGTGGCCCCTCCACTGGTCCATCCCACTGTCCTGCTACTCACAGATCTTTCCCTGGCACGCTCTGCCCAGGTCCCAGCACAGCCCGCCTGTCCCCAGGGTGGTGAGACTCCTTCAGGCCTAACCGGCCCCGGACCTCCGGGCTCCTGTCCTTCACAGGCATCGTAGTGCGGTGAGAGGTGCCTAGGGCAATCAGGTGACAAAGTCCTGGCCCTTGACACCCCATGAACGACACCCCATGAACGGCAGCGGCCTCCGGCAGGCTTTGCGCTCAGGCTCCTTTGCCCCTGCTCTGCCCTCCAGGGTGGGAGCACCTTACTCCCCCTCTTCCACACTCCTACCCAGACCTTGAGAAGAGACAGGGCTGGGGCCGACCCCTCCCTGTGGGCTTGTTCTCCCCCCTGTGAAGTGGGTACAGCAGCACCCACAAAGTCCACAAAATGGGGCGTGGTGAGGGGCGACGCCCTGTCCCGGAGGAGGTGGGTGAGCTGTCAGAGGGGATGGGCTGGGGGAGGATGCGGGGGGCCCAGCTCTGTGGGGCAAGGCCATGGGGGGGTGGGAGGTGACGGGCACAGAAGTGCGTGGGGGACGAGTGACTGTGAGGACCTGTGGCCTGCTGTCTGTCCTGTGCTTTGAGACGCTAAATATGAGCACAGGCCTTGTCACTGCCTGGTCCCAGTGTCCCTGAGTGGGAAGTGGGGAGGACACTACCTCAGGGGGGTTCTAGGAGGACTAGAGAGCTCATGGTGTGAGGAGCTGGGCCCCTCTCCTCGTTGGAGAAATCTGGCTGGGCCCTGCGACAAGCCCAGGCGGAGGAGGAGCATCTGCTGGCAGAATGATGAGGTGTGCGCACAGTAGGTGAGTGGGAGGGAGGGTGGCCCCGGCCTCTTGGACTCCATTGTCACAGGAGTCCCATGCTGCGTGGCCGTCCTCTGACTCCACTAACCTTCCCTGGCTGTGTCCCCACCCCTTAAGGGTAAGACTAGGCCTGATTCTCCTTTGTCCCCAGGAAATGGCCTAGAAGGCGCCCAGCTGATGGCACATGCTCCGTCTCGGCCTGGCTGACCTACAGCACTAAATGAATACCCGCAGTGCCCTCGGGGAGGTCCCCAGAACACATGGCTGCAAGGATCCAGGCGCCACGGTACATCTAGACAAGGCAGCATGGGACGAGGCGCACTCCCGTCTCCTGAGGACTGAAGGCGTCTTTCCAGGAAGGTCACTCAGCAAGCAGCTCCCGCCAGCCCCTGGGGGGCCTGTGTTGTGGCCATCCCCGGCCTGTGAGTGAGGGCAATGGGGTCATGGTGGCCGTCCACAGAAACCCTGCAGGGCCGCGTGGGGTGGGGAAGCTGGCCGTTTCCACTCTTCAGACGAAAGGGAGATCTCAGCGCCTGCCCAGTTTCTGTCTGCTGTGCACAGTACCTTCCCTTGACCTTCCCTTGGCCAACTTGGCTACCCAGGAGCCTGGCAGGGCTGGAGCCCGCGCTCTACTCTTCCCCAGGAGTGAGCCTCACTTTAAAGACACTCAGGGAGTAGGGACAGCAGGTGGCGTGGTGGTTAAGGCGCTGGACACTTCCACATGGCCGATCATGGTTCGAGTCCCGAACCTGGTGGCTTACTTTCTCACTTCCCCCTACCCCTCTCTCTGTCTCTCTCTAGTCAAATTAAAATAAATGAATGGATACATAAAAGTAAATAATTAAAAAAAAAAAAAAGTTTAAAAAAAAAAGACACTCAGGGAGCAAATGTGAGCACGGCTAGAAGCAGCCAGGTCTTGCCGCAAGAGTGCACTGTCGTGCCCTGACACACCCAGGTGACAGGGCAGCATGTGGCTTTCTGTCCCCAAACAAGCCAATCAATTCTTGTTCTTTAAATGGTGCCAGAAAATGCTTTTAGCACCAAAAATACAGTGATGCATATCAATTTTTTTCTCTATAGTTCCTAAGTTGTTGTTTACAAATTAACTCTTGGGACCAGCAGCTGGCATAATGGCTATGTTGCTAAACTCCCATGTAGACAACCGTGGTTCAAGTCCCGGAGTGGCTTAAACTCACACTAGGCACGTGTGCGTGTGTGCCCAAGATCCCAAGAGGAGAATGGAGGAGAAGGGAGTGGGGCATGGCCACCGCCCCCCACAGGGGTTGATTTCTCGCTTTCTGTCTGTCTCTGTCTTTCTGGCGAGCACATGCACCCTTCTGCAAAAACCTCTCCAAAAAAAAAAAAATTTAACTCTCTCTGTCTCTTGTCTGTCTGTGTATGTCTCAAGCAGCCTCAGGCATCCTGGAAACCTGAGATGCTCTTGAGGTCTAATGAGGTCTGATACACCAGCTAAGAGAGGACAGAGCCTGGGGTATCTGGGGTCGGGGAGCAAAAGCCCAGCCTGCTGGGGAGCTTGGAGGTCAGGTGGCCAGCAGTGTAGGCCCACCTCGTCTGGGGCTAGTGAGATCAATGTACCACAGCAGATCAATGTACCCCCCCTGCAAAGCAGCCCTCCTCACCTCTGTCCTGCCCCCATCCAGCCTGACTCCCAGTGGGAAGGAGATGGCAGAGAGCTTCTATTCCCAGCCCCTCCCCCTCCTGCACTCATGCTCTCTCCTTTGTGGTCCCTCCCACTCATTGAAATTGAGTGTGTTCCATGGTCACATGACTTGCTGTGGCCAACAGAATGTGGATGGGAGCAACAGCATTATCCGTTCCGAGTTTCTAGTCACCTTTATTGAGCTTTTGCCATTGCTAAATAATCAGGAAGCCCAGGTAGCTGTCTGTCAAAGAAGGAGAGAAAACACCTAAAAGGGGCCTGAGATACATCTGCCCATCCCAGGTCAACTGACCTGCAGACCCATGACTATGAGGATAAATGATGGCAGATTATAAGCACTGACTGTGGGGACCATTTGTTAGGCAGCATGGTCATGGTAGGCCAGGTATGCCTCCAAGGATGAAGGCCCAAGAAAGGCCATTTGATGCAGCCCTGCCTCTCCCTGAGCTCCAATTTCCTCCTCTTTGGGGTAAGGGTGCAGTCAGTCACACTCTAGAGGCTTCTTGGAGTTGATGGAAATATGGTTCAGAAGGGTACATGGCTCAATCAGTTTTTGACAAAGGTTACCAGTCAATCCAATGGGAAAAGGAAAACCTCTTTAGTAAAAGGTGCTGGAAAAACTGGGTATCCACCTGCAAAAAGATGAAACTGAATCCCCATCTTTCACCATTAACAGAAAGCAACCCAAAATGGATCAAACATCTGAACCTAAGACCTTAAACCATAAAACTACTGGTGGAAAACACTGGGGAAACTCTGAGAGACACTGGGGTAGGCAAAGACTTCTTAAATAAGACCCCCAAAGCACAGGCAATAATCTCCAAAACAGAAAAGTGGGACTACATCAGATTAAGTTTCTGCACAGAAAAGGACACAGTAATTAGTGTGAATTGACAACTCTTGGAATGGGAGAATATTTTTGTAAACTGTGCCTCAGATAAGGGACTGATAACCAGAATACACAGGAAACTCAAGCAGATTACAAAAAAAAAAAAAAAAAAAAAACAACAATGGGAAACAATGAACCTGAACAAAAATCTGAGGAAGACATACGAACAGGCAAAAAGTATATGAGGAAATGCTCAGCATCCCTCATCATAAGGGAGATGCAGATTAAAACCACAATGCGATACCTTCTAACCCCAGTCAGAATGGCGAAGATTAAAAATACAAACAATGATAAGTGTTGGTGGGGATGTGGTGAAAGGGAAATTCTCCTACACTGTTGGTGGGAATGTAAAGTGGTCCAGCCAACTGTGGAAAACAATATGGAGGTTGCTCAAAGATCTACAGATGGAACTACCAGATGATCCAGCAATCCCATTTCCGGGAATCTACCCAAAGGACAGGAGATTGCTAAGTCAAAAAAGCACCTGCACATCAATGTTTATTGCAGCATTATTCATGATTGCTAAGACAGTGAACCAATCCAATATCCAAACACAGATGAATGGATTGAAGAAGTATGGCACATATACTCTATAGAATACTATTCAGCCACAGACAACAATGAGACCCTGGTATTTGATAGAAAGTGGTCGAATATGGAAGATTTATTACTGAGTGAAGCAAGCCAGGCTATGAAAGAAAAATAATGTATCCACTTAATATATACTATCTGCACTCTGTGGTAGAGATTGAAATATTAGAGGACATAAAAGCTGTGAAAATAGCTATGGATGCTGAAGACAGTGTGGAATGAGGTGGGAGAAGGGAAGACTATAGAGAAGGAAATCATAGAGAAAACATAGAGAGGCATGACATTTG